GGCCAGGAGGGCCCCCAGACGGTCCCAAGACGCCCAGGACGGCCCCAGGACGGCCCAGGAGGCGCCCAAGACGGCCCAAGAGGCACCCAAGACGGCTCCAGGAGCGGCCCAAGACGGCCCAAAACAGCCCAAGAGGCGCCGAGGCGGGTCTCAGACGGCCCCAAGACGGCCCAAGAGGCACCCAAGACGGCCCGAGAGGGCCCTAAGAGCCCCCCCGGGAGGCCCAAAAGAAGGCCGAAGAGGCTCCGAAACGGCCCCCACGAAGCCTTCAGTGGCTTCAGAAGTCCCTCCAGGAGCGGGGGAGCGGACGAGAGGCGACAGGCACGCCGCGCTTGCCCAGAGACCCCTCGCCACGTCGAGCTGATGTCGTGGACGGAGTCCACAGGTCTGCCCTAGTCAGCTACAACGCTGGGATCAGCGCGTGCGAGAAGGGCGGGCAGTGGCAGCGGGCGCTGGCGCTGCTGAGCGAGATGCGGGAAGCAAAGCTGGAGCCCGACGTCATCAGCTGCAGCGCTGGGATCAGCGCGTGCGCGAGGGGCGACCAGTGGCCGCGGGCGCTGGCGCTGCTCAGCGAGATGCGGGAGTCGAAGCTGGACCCCAACGTCTTCCCTTCTCTCCTGCATGGCCCGAGGACGCACTTGGCATCGCTCGGACGCGTGCATCTTTCCTTCGGCGAGGACCATCGAGGAGCATCCTGAATCCTCTGGCAGAACAGCCACGCACGAAACTGAAAAAAAGCACAGGGAATGGACGTCCGAGCGATGGCCAGAGCACGTGCGGGCAGGGAAACGGACCAAGTGCCGAACATCGGCCTCGGCGGGCCCCTTGTCGTGGCGTCGGCGGTCCCCTGGCGCGGCTTCGGCGCGGCCTGGCGTGCCCCTGGGCGGCTCGGGCACGCGTCGGGACGCCTTCCAGGGAGCGCCGCGTGGCCCCAAGACAACCCCAGAGACCGTCCAGACAGCTCGCGGCGGCCAACACATCTTTTTGCTTGTGGTCTTGGCTGGATTTTCGAGCCAAGAGCGGCCCAAGACGGCTCTTTCTTGGGCGCCCCCCGCATTCTCCAAGGCCGCCCAAGAGCTCTGGCAGGGCCCCAAGACGGCTCAGGAGGTCTCCGAGTACGGCTCCCCCAGGAGCCCCAGACGGCCCACGCGAGCCCTGAGACGACCGAGAGAGCGCCCGAGGGCTCACGGAGAGCTCTGAGACAGCCCAGGAGCCCCAATATCGCCCCAAGACGGCCCAATTGAGGCCGTCCAGACGGCTCGCGGCGGCCAAAAATCATTGATTCTTCCTATGGGTTCCGCCTGAATTTCAGGTTCTCGCGATTTCGAGCGGCCCAAGACGGCTCCAGGGCCCCCCACGAATGCTCCAAGACTCAAGAGGCTCCGGCAAGGGCCCCAAGACTGCTCAGGAGTGCTCCAAGACGGCTCCTGGAGGAGCTTAAAACGGCCGAGAGACCCAAGAGACGGCGCGAGAGAGCCCCCACGAGCCCCCAGACGGGCCCCAAGAGCTGCCCGAGAGGGCTCACAGGAAGCTCCAAGACGGCTCAACAGCCCCAAGTTGGCCCCTACACGGCCCCAGAGGCCGTTAAGACGGGCCGCGGAAAACGAAATCATTGATTTCCCAATGGTTTTTGACTGATTTCCACCTTCTCGCCATTTCGAGCGAAGACCGGCCCAAGACCGCCACTTCGAGCCAAGAACGGCCCAAGATGACGTGGACGAAGCTCACGGGCTCGCCCAAGTCTCTCCTACATGGCCAGTGGATCTGCGTGCGAGAATGTCTCAGGGCCTCGTGTGCACAAAATCGCCCCTTTACGCCACCACGGGGCCGAACGAATCGCTCAGGCCGGTCCCAGAGGCGCTCCAGAGGGGTCCCAGACCGTCCAAGAGCGGTCCAAGACGGCCTCTGGGTCCCGGGACGGCCCACGAGGGCCCGAAGCCTTCCGGGGGGGGCTCCACGACGATCCAAGAGGCCGCAAAGACGCCCCAAGATGGCCCCGAGCGCACGCCAAAGAGGGCCTCGTGTGCACAAAATCGCCCCTTTACGCCACCACGGGGCCGAACGAATCGCTCAGGCCGGTCCCAGAGGCGCTCCAGAGGGGTCCCAGACCGTCCAAGAGCGGTCCAAGACGGCCTCTGGGTCCCGGGACGGCCCACGAGGGCCCGAAGCCTTCCGGGGGGGGCTCCACGACGATCCAAGAGGCCGCAAAGACGCCCCAAGATGGCCCCGAGCGCACGCCAAAGAGGCACAACTCGTCAAATTCCGATGGAAAAACGTACATTTTCAGCATGCCCGCATTGTTTGCTCCTCAGCGGCCCAGGACACGCCAAGAGGCCTCCCAAATCGCCCCAAGAAGACGCCAGCGGCCCCTAAGAGGGCTCCAAGACAACAAGAGCCCCAAGACGACGCCGGAGAGCCCTGAAACGGCCTCACAGAACCCCAAGACGGCCCCAAGAGAGCTCCGGGGGGGCCCCAAGAGGCTCCCAAGACGGCCTCAGGCAGCCTCCAGAGAGCTCCAAGACGGTCCAAGGCCTCCTGGACGCCCCGTGACGGCCCAAAAAGGCCCCAAGGCGTCCCAAAACGCTTCCAGAGCAGCCCCAAAAAACGTCAGAATGCCCGAAAAAGACCCCCCACAAGGACCACCAAGCAGGCCCAGATGCGCCTAAAAGAGTGATTGGTGAAGTACAAAGATCTTCTCACCAAGGCTCCCAAGAGTGAGACGCAGCGTAGAGAGCTCTCCCAGGCACAGCTCCCAAGAGCGAGCGGTGACGTCGGGACACCCTTCCGACCTCTCACACAGGAGCACGCACGCAGCACGCAAGCACAATAGATTTCCTGGGCTGTCCCCCGGAAGAGGCTCGGGGGGATAGCCCGGGAACGGCCCCAGAGGCGCCCCCAAAAACTTCAAGAGAAAAGGCCCCAAGAGGCCGCAAGACGGCCCAAGAGGGCCCCAAGAGGCCCCTAGGAGGCCGCAAGACAGCCAACGAGGCCCCAACAGGTCCCCAGGAGCTCGAAAAGAAACCCCGAGAGGCCCACTAACCGTTCCCAAGGAGACGGCAGCGCCCGCCATCAGGCTTCGAAGAGGCAACCGGAAAAAAGTCTCCAGACCCCTCTGGGTGACCTTTTTCAAGGCCCCAGGTGTTTTCAAAATTGACAAGCGGCGAGACGTACACCGCAAACCCACCATAGCCGTCTGTGACGCTCCGAAGGCTGTCTAGGCGGAGGTAGAGCGGAAGGCGGACGAAGAGAAGGAAGCGGTCCAAGAGGGCCTCCGAGACGGCCCAAGACCGCTCGAAGACGCCCCAGAAAACAAAATCATTGATTCTTCCATGGTTTCTGACAGATTTCCACCTTCTCGCCATTTCAAGCGAAGACAGGCCCAAGACGGCCTTTTCGAGCCAAGACTGGCGATGACGTGGACGAAGTCCACGGGTTCGCCCTGGTCAGCTACAACGCTGGGATCAGCGCGTGCGAGAAGGGCGAGCAGTGGCAGCATGCGCTGGCGCTGCTGAACGAGATGTGGGAAGCAAAGATGGAGCCCGACGTGATATCTTCTACAATGCCGGAACCAGTGCGTGCGAGAAAGGCGCACTGTGGCAGCTCGGCAAACAGGCCAGCGGGGCCAGACCCTCCCACATTGGCCCCGAGCGCCCCAATAAGGCCTCAGAAACGGCTTCAGAGATCCCGGACGGGCTGAACACGGTCGCAGAGACCCTAAGAGGCGGTGCAGGGTGCATAGCAGGCCAAGAGAGGGCCACAGAGGCGCCAAGAGAGGCCCCAGATAAATTGCTTCAGTTGGGTTTCGCGCGGCTTCGAAGTTGTCCAAGAGCCAGACTGCCCCAGACAGATTCCAAGACGGCACAAGCGTGCCCCAGAATGACGCAGGAAGCCCCCAAGTCGGCCCTAGGAATGCCCCAAAGGGCCCCCGGAGGCCCGGACGATGACCCAGGGGAGGCCTTAGTTTGCCCAAGACGGCCCCGATGGGGACGCCAAGACGGCCCAAGATGGCCCTGAGCGAGGTGAGGGAGGCGACACTGAAGCCCGACCGCATCCATGTTCTGACGCAGTGCGTGCTAGAGCAGGGTGCTATGGGGCTGGGACGTCTGGGCCAGAGCCCACCGAGAGGCTCCCAATGATGGGTCCAAGGGGGTCGGCGAGTCGGCACCAGGAGGGATTCAGAGAGCCCAAGCAGCGTCCAGAATAGCCCCAGACTGCCTTGAGACGGTCCCGAGACGACCCAACAGGGTCACCGGCGGAGCCCCCAAGCCAGTGCCTGCCAGCCCACAGTGGCCAAAGAGCTTCAAAGCGCTTCAGGTCAGCCCCAGGTGGCTCCAAGGTGCCCCCAATTCGGCCTAGAAGAGGCCCAAGGCGGCCTCCCCGTTCGTTCAGCCCCAAGGCGGCCACACGCATCGAAAACCTTGTATTTGGAATGTTTCGGGCCTCCTCGTTTTGACAGCCCAAGACGGCCCTAATAATGATTGTGCCATGTGCTACCCCTGAGTTTCACCTACAAGAAAACCTTATCAGCAACGCAAGTGGACTCGGCGCGTGCGATAAGAGCGAGCGTGCCATGCACGTGCTGTTGCTTAGCGACTTGGTAGCTGAGCGGTATCTTGGTAGCTGAGCGGCATCTCTTCATTCATTTAGCTGGGCAAATTTATATGCGAAGTCTTCGCTTTAACGGTTCAGCGTTGCCGTCATGGTTGGCCTTGGTTGGGTCCGACCGGATTCTGCAACTTGCCATCATGTCGAAGGTCCGATCGACTAACCGTCTGGACCGGCCCACTCGAACTCCGCCGTCAGTCGGAGCGTGTCGAGAGCGTCCTAGCGCGCTCCCTCCACGGTGTTTTGTCGCGTGCCATGATTCGCTATATTTGCCATGCCACGTAGCGATCAACGGTGCTCTCTTAGATAAGAGCTGTACAACGCGCATGCGCTGCAATCCTCACTTTTGCATCCGAGTGCGATCTCGTGGACGGTAGTCCACGGGTCAGCCCTAGTCAGCTACAACGCTGGGATCAGCGCGTGCGGGAAGGGTGAGCAATGGCAACGCTCTCTGGCGCTGTTCAGCGAGATGTGGAAGGCGAAGCTGGAGCCGGACGTCATCCATGTATCGAGCATTCTGCGTGTCAGAAGGGATCACGTGTTTCCCCGAGCCCGCGGTGCCTCCGAGGCTCCGCTCGAGGAGCGACGCCGTCCTGGCCAAGCAACGCCCCGCGCCAGCGCGACCGGGCTTCCAGAGTGCTCACGATGGCCTCCAGCAAGCGCTTAGACAGCTCACGAGCGCTCATAAGTCGGCCCAAGAAGTCCCAAACAGGGCCCGAGAAAGCTCCAAGAGGACGCTCCAAAGAGCAGCGAGAGGGCGCCCAAGACGGCCCCAGAGGAACACGCAAAAAACCCAAAGACGGCGAAAAACGGCCCGAAGACGGCCCAATAGGCGCCCAAGACGGCCGCCCACCACGGCCCCAAAGTGACCCCAAGAATGCCCCGAAGGCACCCATGACAGCCCCAAGAGCCGCCCAAGACGGCCCAGACGGCCCAAAGGGCAACGACGAGAGCCCCAGAGGGTCCTCATGAGTGCTCTCGGGCGGCTCCGAGCTGCTGAAGAAGACGCCCCGACGGCCCCACGACGGCTCCAAGACGCTCCAAAGGCCACCCCGACGGTCCAAAAACGGCCCCGAACCGCTCAAGAGGGCGCCCCGACGACCCCAAAACGGTTCCGAACCGCTGCAGACGCCACCCCGACGGCCCCAGGAACGCTCGGAGCCGCTCAAGAGGCCGCCACAACGACCCTAAGGACCCCCAGGGCAGGCCTGGAGCATCCAAAGACGGCCCTCGAGGATTCCCCAGGACAGCTCCGAGACGCAACAATCGCACCATCCCCACCGGAAAATTGACATGTGTGGCATACTCATACTTTTCGCCTCCGACGCGCCCACGACGGCCACAGAACCTCCCAAGATCGGCGTCAGATGCGCCCATCGGCCCACGACGGCCCAAGAGACGCCCAAGACGACCCAATAGGCGGCCAAGACGGCACACGACTGCCCCAAGACTACCCCGGAGGCACCCAAGACAGCCCCAAGAGCCGCCCAAGACGGTCCAAGTCGGTCTCCAGACGGCCCAAGAGGCACCGAAGACCGCCCAAGACGGTTCCGAGACGGCCCAAACGGCACAGAAACCCCACACAGCCCCCAAGAGGTTTTAAGTGCCTACGTACATATTCCCTCCAACGGAGGGGGGGCGTACGAGAGGTGAGAGGCAGAACGCAGGCCCGAACAGCCGTTTTCGATGCTCCGAGGGTCCACGATTGACGATCCAAGATCCAGGGCATGCAGAATCGAGGCAAGAAGGCGGAGGCGGAGCAGGAGGAGCAGGAGGAGGAGGAGGAGGAGGAGGAGGAAACCCGAAAAGGCCCAGAAGAGAGCCTCATGAGGATCCACATGACGTGCGGAACTCTGAACGTTCGCCCAAAACGGCCCAAGAGGAGCCCAGACGGCCCGAGAGGGTCCCATGAGGTCCCGAAGAGGCCCAAAACAGGACTTAAGAGGCCCTCCACCCCCCAGAAGGCCGAAAGAGAATTCAAAACTGCATCCAAGAGAGGAGCCCTTGCGCGCATGAGACGCCCGAGAAAGCTTCGCCTTACATACAACTCCAACAAGGCGGCCTCCCCAACGTAGCGGAGCACGTCCGACCCAATTGCGGGTTCTGTTAAGATGTATTTGAAAGTCACACAGTCTTGAAGTTCTCTTGGGCCCTCCCTGGAGATCTTTGCGAGCTTTCCTTGCGCCCCTGGTGGCGTTCCTCGAGAAACTCCCGTGCCCTTCCCCGGGCGCTCCTGAGGCGTCTCAGATGGGCTTCGACTTTGACGCACATGCCCGAAAGATTTCAAAACTGCCCCCAATAGGAGGGGGGTGAACGAACCGTGCGCCGGGGCCAAGCTGCTGGATCGTTGCGAGAGCTCAGACACGAAGGCGCGGTCTCGCTACCGCCGCCCCAGCTGCGGCCGAACTTAAATGTTTTCGGCGAAACCTCCGCGTACGATGCGAGAGCAATTCCAGAAAGATGTCGTAAACGGAGCTTACGGGTCAGCCGTAGTCTATACTACAATGCAGGGCCCCGCGCGTGCGAGAAGGGCGATTCTGGTCAAATGGCGTAGCAGGCCCAAGACACGCCAACTCCAGAGGCGCCCGAGACGGCCCAAGACGCACCCAAGACAGCCCCAAGAGCAGTTCATAATGGCCCAAGACGGCTCCACCGCCCCGTCTCCAAGACGGCTGTAGAGGCCCCCGCCGCACCGTCTCCAAGCCTTTCCGTTTGGACAGTCTCCAAGACGGTCTTTGGGCCGTCCGGGACGGTTCCAGAGGCGCCCGAGACGGTTCAAGAAACACCAAAGACAGCCCCAGTAGCGCCCAATATTGGCCCAAGATGGCCCCAAGATTGTCCCAAGATGGTCCGAGAGGCGCCCAAGACGGCCCCACATCGCCCCAAGACGGCCCAAGATGCACTCAAGACTGCCAAAGATGGCTCCGAGAGACCCACCCCCAGGAGGACGAAAAGATGCCCCCAAGCGGCCCCCGAGAGGCCTTGGATGCTTCTCTCTTGGGGAGCGTCGAGCTTCCAGCATCGTTTTGGAGGCTTTTTGGACCCTTTGGGAGCCATCTTTGCGCTACTTGGAGACGTCTTGGGGAGGTGCGCTCGAAAAGTCGATTCGTGTCCTCGCACTGGGGCCCTTCTTAGGGAGTTCCGTCTCGCCGCCCTCTTGCGGGCCTAGGCCGCGCCCACTGGCCCCATTGTCACCACTCTGCCAGATGAAAATATCATTCGGCCCCGGCGAAGAGCAGATAAATTAATCACGGCTACCTTCCCCGCAGAAGCTATGATAAACACAGACTGCGGCGTCAGAAACACCTTCTGTCCACACCATGTCATGCCCACATGGGTGTGCTTCCACTGACACCGCGTCCACCACTGCGTTCCTGCCTTCAGGCCTGCTTGCCTGCATCCCTCGCCCACCTTCCCCTCCAGCGGCCACCTCCTCTATCCACGCCGTCCCCTCCAACCTCCCTTTACCGCGAGGCCCCAGAGACGCTCCACTTCCACGTCCACGCCAGGGTGAGCAAATTCCGCGGCCGGAGGCCGCGGGTCAGCCCTAGTCAGCTTCAACGCTGGGATCATTGCGTGCGAGAAGGGTGAGCAATGGCAGTGGTCGCTGGCGCTGTTGAGCGAGATGCGGGAGGCAAGTCTGGAGCCCGACGTCATCAGCTACAACGCTGGGATCAGCGCGTGCGGACAGGGCGAGCAGTGGCATCGGGCGGTGGCGTTGCTCAGGGACATGTGGGAGGCGAAGCTTGAGCCCACCCAGATGCCGTTCCAAGAGAGGCGCACGACTAGCCAAGAGGGCACCAAGAGGGCGCCAGGGAGCTCCAACACAATCCAAGAACGCCGCAAGGGGGCCAAAGAAGGCCCAACAGGCCCCGAACACGACCCCAGACGCCTCCAAGAGGACACTTCTAAGCGCCTTCAGTAGCAAAAACATGAAGCCCCAACTGGTTTGCAAACGATTTCCGCATGCTCGCTTCTTCGGTCCTTGGAACCCCCAGCACGGCCAAAGAAGCCCCCGACATTGACCCAAGACGGCCGGCTATAACCCCTCGTGAGGAGCCCAAACGGCACATAATGGTTCCAAGACGACACAGTAGGGCTCCGAGACGGCCCGAGAGGCCGCCCAAACTGTCCCAAGACGGGTCCAAGGCGGCCCAATAACGCTCCAAGATGGACTCCAGGAGCCCCCGAACTTCCCCGGACCCCTCCAAAACAGCCCACAGTGGCCCGAAGGCCGAAATGGCACCAGAACGCCCAGGAGGATTGGATCCCCAAGAGACAGCCAAGAGGCCCCCGGCAAGCATCCCGAGAGGCGCCCCCTCTCGAGAAGACTCCCAAAAGGTCCATCCCCCTTCACGCCTTCTTCCTCCTAGGCTTTCCCTCCTCCTCGCCCCTCTCCCAAGGCCGTCGCTCCTCCCTTCTCGCTCCTCGCTTTTCGCTGATCGCTCCTCCCTTCTCACCCCGCCGTTCCCGATCGCCTCGATCCTGACTCAATCCTCCCCTGGCAGCAGGTTGCGCCAGCAAGCTGAAACAGCGAGCAACAGCACCCCGCAGTGTCAAGCAGCAGTAACGAACGACAGCAGCACGCAGCGCGAAACAGGCAGCAGCAGCGGCAGCATTACAGGAACGGCAAGCAGCAGCAGGCAGCGGGCTTCAGCACGCACCAGGCAGAGATGGCCACCACCAGCACCCTGCAGGCACAAGCAGCAACAACACGCAGCAGGGACAAGCATTACCAACAACGCGCACCAGCCAGAGCAAGTACCAGCACGCAATAGCATGCGTGGAATGTGCGGGTCGAGCCCCACGTGGCATCATTCCTGCCTCCCGGCAGCATGTCCACAATCACATGCCAGTTTGTGCAGATTTCGTGCGCGCAGTCCGGAGGTCAGCCACAACTTACCTTACCTTCTACGGCCAGGAGCCGCGCGTGCCCAAAGGATAGCAGTTCCGAGCAGCCAAATCGCTCCCAGCGGGCTCCGGCGGGCCTCCTGACAGGCCCAATGTGGCCCCCAGACGGTCCAAAACGTCGCCAAGACGGTTTCACAGCGGGCAGAATGGCCTCCAGACCAGCCAGACCACAGGCCAGGATGCTCCTCAAATGTCCCGAGACGCTCCAGAAGGCCCCCCATGATAGCCCTAGGCGGCGGAAACTTAGCTCTTCCCAACGTTTCACCAGGCTTTCCAGGTTCTCCCCGCCCTCTTCGTCTTCGATCGTACCCCCTTGGAGGTATATCTTCCCTACCTGCCGCGCGTATTTCGTGCAGCCCCTACAACAGGGGAAGAGAGAACGGATGGAAGAAAGGGACAAGGGCGAGAAGAGGAGGATGGAGCACGAGAGAGAGTAGCAGGAGGGGGGCTGGGAGCAGAAAACACGTGGCAGAACCAGACGGGCAGATCGGGCGGGTAGACCTCGACGGGCGGGTCGGGAAGTCGGGCCCACGCGGCCAGGTCGAGCAGGCGGGTTGCTGAAGCGTGCGTCAGGAAGTCTCGAGCGATAGCGCGATTCCCAAGTAGAATGTCAGAAAATCCATAGCGAGAGCGTGATTCCTGAGTGTCGGACGGCGCGGCGTGTGAATAATTTGTGAAGACGTTCTACGCGAGAGCGGAGTCCTGCGTACATTGTGAGGAAGTCCCGCGAGAAAGCGCGATTCTTCCCCAATCAGTGCTTGCATTGAAAAGGTCCTTGCGGCGATTGAAAGATTTGGCGGAAGTGCCAGGCAGATTCGGTAGGCGGCCGGGTTCCCGGGTTCCTGGTTATGGGTTCCTGGGCTTTTTGTTGCTAGTTCGGGACCGATTTCGGTGGGCGGCGGGGTTCCCGGGTTTCGGGGTTCCCGGGTTTTTGTCGATCTCTTTATCGATCGGTCTCACCATCGATCTCATTACCCGCTTCTTTATTGTTGTCATAGTCGATTCCATTATTGATCGCGCGAGTGATCTCACGATCGTATTTTCGATCGATCTCACAGAATCGTGTGCACCATCGGTCTCACGATCGACCATATTATCGTCCTTACGATCGGTCCCACTACCGGTTTCACTACCGATCTCACAGGCGATCTCAACATCCACTGATGGTTTTTTCGTGTAATTCAGGACATTGCGAGGCAGTATCAGGCGGGAACCGTTGTTGTTGAATATTATTCCTTCTAAAGAATTATTATTGTTGGGACCCCTGGTGCGCGACCTCTGCGCCGCGCCTAGGCCGCAGCTACATTTTCATCATTTTTCTGCGAAAGCTCCAGAAAAGTGGATTGGTACCGGATCCGGTTTTTTGTTGACGCTCGTTTTCCCTTGCAAAAAACACTATAAAATGAAAATTCTTGTTCTTACTTGATCAAATTGCAAGAATCCCTTGCAAAAACTAAGGTAAAGTGGACATTCGTGCGCGCAAGACGAAATCCTTCCAAAACCTTAGGTTTCGTAGCGATTTTAACATAAAAACATCAAAAACCCAATGTTTTTTAAGAAAAAATTGTCAAAATGTCCTTCCGCGCGCGCTGTCCGAATCCCACAAAACCAATGGTTTTTCAACATTTATGTTACATGAGCTCGCGCGAGCTACTTTTTCTTGTTCTAACATAATCAAATTTCAATAATCCCTTGCCAAAAATAAGGTAAAGTGGACATTCGCGCGCGCAAGACGAAATCCTTCCAGAACCTTAGGTTTCGTAGCGATTTCAACATAAAAACATCAAAAACCCAATGGTTTTTCAAAAAAAAATGTCCAAATTTCATCCCGCGCGCGCTGTCCGACTCCCACACAACCAATGGTTTTTCAACATTTATGTTACATAAGCTCGCGCGAGCTACTTTTTCTTGTTCTTACATAATCAAATTTCAACATCCCTTGCAAAAAAAAGTAAAGTGGACATTCGCGCGCGCAAGACCAACAAAAAACACGACGATCTCAGGAACTTGCCCCAAAAATGTGACCAACTCCGCGCTCTCTGTCTCTCTCTCTGTCTGCTCTCTGTCTCTCTCTCTGTCTGTCTGTGTCATGTATTGTATGTCACAATTGCAGGATGCTGGGCACACGCGCGCCCCGAAAAAGTGACCAAGTTCTGTGGGTGTGTACCCCACGCCAGTGTAGTAGCCACGGTCGTCCGCACGCCACGAAGTGAAGTGTCCCAACGTCATAGGGCGGGAAGCTGGGTTTGGGTGGTCGCGAAGAGTCGTTTGGATATTTGGTAAAGCTTGAACTGCCCCCCCACGAAGTGGGGGTATTGTCTCGCGTCGCATGAAAACCCTGGCACTGGTGAGAACACTGAGCGTTCGGGTAAAATGATTGTTGTTGTTGTTGTTGTTGTTGTAAATCGGGTGCCAACCGCGCAGTTTGGTGGCACCACGGTTTTTATATAAAAAACAGGGTGCGAGCCCCGGGATAATTCTGAATTGGAAAATACAATGGTTACCGGAGGGGCGGGCCAACAATCGTTTTTTTGTTGTTGTTTTTTTTCTTTCTGTTTTGAATGAGAGTTCAGTCATATTATGAATACTCGTTCGCTTGTACCTGCTCGCATGCCATTTAACATGATTATCCCGAACCCTCTATACCCGCCATTTCGTCTTCGATCGCACCCCTCTTGGGGGCATAGTTTCCTTACCTGCCGCGTGTAGTGCCCCTCGAACAGAGGGGATGGAACACGACGGAGATTGGCAGGAGGGGGGGGGGTAGGAACAGAAAACACGTTGCAGAACCAGGCGGGTAGATTTTGACGGGCGGGTCGGGAAGGAGGCGGGCCCCTGCGGCCAGGTCGAGCAGACGGGCTGCTGAAGCGTGAGCACGAATCGAGAGGAAGTGTCGAGCGATAGTGCGGCTCCAAGGAAATCGTGAGAGAGGCCAAAGCGACAGCGTGATTCCCGAGGGTTGGAGGCGCGATGCGTGAATACATTGCCAGGGGGTCCCACGCGAGAGCGCGAATCCTGGATAAATGGTGAGGACGTCCCGCACGAGAGCGTGATATGGAAATTTATGGTTTGGAAGTGTCAAGCGGGAGCCGTTGTTGTAACTCGGGGGGCAGGGGTGTGAGTTCCACAAAAACAACAACGAGCACGTCAAGACCTAAGGCAGGGGAAGAGGGGACATATAGAAGGGAGGGGTAAGTGGGAGGGATGAGGATGGAGCACGGAAGGGCGCAGCAGGAGGGGAGGTGGGAGCAAAAAGCACATGGCAGAACCAGGTTCTCCCCGCCCTCGTCGTCTTCGATTGTGCCCCCTTGGAGGTATATCTTCCCTACCTGCCGCGTGTATTTCGTGCAGCCCCTACAACAGGGGAAGAGAGGACGGATGGAAGAAAGGGACAAGGGGGAGAAGAGGAGGATGGAGCACGAGAGAGAGTAGCAGGAGGGGGGCTGGGAGCAGAAAGCACATGGCAGAACCAGACGGGCAGATCGGGCGGGTGGACCCTGACGGGCCGGTCGGGAAGGCGGACCCACGCGGCCAGGTCGAGCAGGCAGGCGGGTTGTTGAAGCGTGCGTCCTGCATGAGCCGCGAGGCAGTCTCGCACGACATGCGATTCCCAAGTCAATCGTCCAGCAATCCGCAGCGAGAGCGCGATTCCTGGGTGTCAGAAGTTGAAAGGGAGCTCCATGCGAGAACGCGATTCTTGTGTAACTTGTGAGGACGTCCCGCGCGAGAGCGCGATGTAGGAATTCACTGCGAGGAAATATCGAGCGGGAGCCGTTGTTGCTGTAGTTCGGGGGCTAACAACCCAGTCTTGTGACACCCAGTTTTCCCTAGTACAGGACAAGGTGCGAGCC